TTACAAATAGCAAGTACTCAGTCGGGCCCAGTATCGAAGCTTGTGCTGTGCCTAGGTCAGTGGCAAACATTATCACCTGTCTGGTTATATAATTTGACAGTGGTGTAACGATTATGATGATAACTTTTAAAAAATTCTAAGAATGGTCCTGGAATAATGCAGCGTGATAGCTTATTGTATCATTATCATTATTACAGCCCTTCACAAGTCCACTGATGAACATAGGCCTCCCCCAAGGAATGCCACAAAGTACGGTCCTGAGCCACCTGTATCCATCGAGTTCCTGCATATCTTACCAGGTCGTCACTCCATCTATTGAGGGGACGCTACACTTCGTCCGCCGGTACGAAGTCGCTACTCGAGAACCTTTTTTCCCCATCGGTTGTCTTGAGTCTAATGGCAGCTAAAGTCGCTTCTTGTTGTATGTGTAGATGAACCGGACTTAGCCCCAGCATTGCCGCATCTAAGGCTGCTGTTGGCGTAGTTCTTATGCTTCCTGTGGCAGCCATACATTCCAGTCTCTGGTAACGCTGAAGCTTCTTTATGGTGGTGGCTTCATTTGTTTTTGTCCACCATATCAGAGCACCGTATGTGATCATGGGCCGAATTACAGTTTTGTATAGCCACAGTATGACTTTTGGCGTCAGACCCCATCTTTTGCAAATCATTTTTTTGCATTGCCAGAAAGTTATACTAGCTTGGTAGATTTTGTTTTCGAGATTTTGTTGTTAACGAGAGACTTTTGGACGATACATCCGACACCTTCTTGAGACAGATGGCCGCCCTTCTGGTGATAGAACAAGTTGCCGGATTCGAGGGTTACCGTGTCCTCCCCCTCTCTTCGGACTTCGGACTCTTCTTCCAGCTCCAGTATCTTCTCGTCAGTCCTCAGGGTTCGTGCGTTATAAGTTGCCAGGTTGAGTCGTCGTAGATGGCAACCGAGCCTCCACCGGAGATTCTTAGCACGGCCTCCCCGCCGTTACGATGGTCACCATCGTAGCCAGGAATAGCGGGGCCGCCGGGGACTGGGGGCCGTTTATTACTCATGGGGGATATATTGCCATAATTGCCACGCTTGGCGAGCGGGTTGGCAACCGCAGTTTTTTTATTGCTTTTTGCTGTTATCAGAAAGATGCTGCTGCCCATCTTTTGCCTCAGTTTCCCTCTGTCGACTTCTACGACACCGACGGCAAGATATGGGGTAGTGGGTATTCTCACCCGCCACTACACGGGGCTGATAGAAGCGGAACTGTATAAGTATAAGTAAGTGTAAGCGAAACGCGAATGTAGCTGAATAAATTTAGTTACTCCCTAAGAGCACCTGCGTTCCTCCCAAAAATGCATGTACTATCACTGCCACCATTATATCCAATTTACAAGCCTTATAAGCTCAACGTGCCTGATAGGCTCGTTTACATCATTGCCAACCGCTTTTTTCATTATCTAATAGAGAGAGAGAGAGAGAGAGAGAGAGAGAGAGAGAGAGAGCTCTACAAAGCGCTTCTTAAAAGCCGTGGTTCTAATGAACTCCGTCCTCTACCCACTTCCATTTGACCTTGAGTGATATCACGCAGGACTAAGTAATTAATATTGTTCTCTATGCTGACAAAAAAATCCTTATGTACGATCACCCTATAATCGTACAATTCTCGAGGTATCGACTACAAAATACATAGGAGTCACTCTTCAAAACGGTGTGACCTTCGCGAAACCTATTCGTGTCGTACGTGTGAACTAAATTTGTTACTGGTCGTATCCATCCACTTGTTTGTCTCTTCTTCACTGAAAGTTGTTTTATTTGAAACCTTTTTGCTTGTTATCAGGAAAGAAAGGACCTAAGGAAATGTAGCCCGTAAAGAATCTAATTTAATAACATAGCTTTCAGATTATCGATAAATATTAAATGGTTATCGCTTATAAAATTAAAAACACAAATGTCAAATTTTATCCCGATAATTAAATTATATTTTTTTATTAATATAAAGTGTTTTACAAAACCATTCAATTAAGAATTTAATTGAGTATTTCATATATATGCGCATATTTTCCGAGGATATACTATTTCTATAAAATTAATTCTCGTGTATCAAAATCGTGTCTAAAATACGATATTTTGCTCAACCAGTCCATATGGCATAAGCTCCATCTTTATAAAACTTGCCTAAGACCACTGACCCTTGTATATATAGAGGTCAGTGCCTAAGACCCATTATGTCATACGCATGCGTAGTCTATGCCCCTGGGAGCAAGAGCAACTTTCAAAAACTTCAAGTTTTCAAAACAACTTCGTTAACAAAGCCACCGTGGCCGACACAGGGATTGCGAACTTCCGACAATCTATATATTTTTGGATGTCTCAGCGCTACCACCAAGGCCACCCAAGCCTGTTAATGGTAAACGCAGCCCCAATTACCATTATATAAAACCAAAACTATTGCATCTCGTGGTTGTCGGAAGATGCAAGCGATTATGAGAAATGCGAGAAAGTCTTATGGCCTTTGACAGATGGGTTTTTACAGAGACAGAGATAAAAAAACGGTCACTAGTCTGTCTAGGGTGTTTCTGGGTAGGTACTGAATTCTCATCTATTTCTCATTATGCAGCACTGTTCTCACCGCTGTTTTACTGTATATATTGATACTTACTACCATACTCTTCGAAAATAGGATGCTCCTTCTTAGTACAAGGATTGACAACGCACTTGTTTGATTTCTTTGTTTGGAGATGGCTATAGCACGGAATAAATAATAGTACTATAAGCTGCAGGTACTCTCTAGGTTAGTTGTTTACTATTATATATATATGTTATATTATAATTATGGTAAGCTTACATATCACTCTAAATTCAAACTAAAGAAGATATTTTGAAAAACATCGATAACAATAACTTCAATGAGTGTAATAATTCCGAAAATGTATGTTCCATGTCTATGTTAGTTTAGTGCAATAAATATTTGCACAATGAATATCTATTGCCATGTCCTTTATCATCGGTTTCTCTCGTAAATGATATAAATATAAATAAATTAGTTCAATTTTTTCACTTTTATGTTCAGTCAGGTTATAATTTAATTCATGGATTGAAATATCAGTCTTAAGTTGTTTCATTGAAAGTAATATAACAAACTTCTATTACAATTTTTGTTAATGTATGTGTATAAATAAAACAAAATTATATAACGCCAAATGATTTCTCAATTCAAGGAACAGCAACAAAAGAGTTCACCTCATTAGCCACAGTCCTTCAATTAAAACAAAAAGGAAACACAACAAAATGGACAAGATTTATGGCTCACAAAGGAGGATGAAGATTCAACGACCGGTTGATTGCTTCCCTGCGCGTGCGCCGGATGCCCCTCCAGAGTTTAATTAGTGCTCCTGATGCACAGTGCATACGAGTTAAATTTGTTAAATTTTGCGCGAGTTCAGTCATAGATAAGATTTTCTAATAAAAATAATGAAAGAATACCTTTCCCCCTAACTGTTAATTGATTCAACGAGTTAAAATAATTGTGAATCAATTTTTAAAGTGACATATGATATCTTCTTCTTCTTTCTTAGTTTTATGGCCCCTCTTTTTAGAATTCTGCCAATGTCAAGTCAGTCATAAATACTTAATTCAAATTGTCAAATATTATTTAAAGACTACCAACAGATTTTTTAACAAATCAGGGGACAATAAATTATAATAATAAATGTAAAATTAAGTGTAAACTTAAAAATAACGTAAAACGTATTACAAAGAATAATTATTCTTACGTATTATAAAATTTTGTAATAATAATTATGTGATTATTTACTTATTTTTTCTCTTAATGATTTGTGTTAACTATTTATAATTTAAAGTAAACCATAAAACATTTTCATAACATCTGCCCCTCGTACTTATTGGGCTGCATCATCATAAAACATGCAAATAGTTCAATACGTTTCTTAATTGGGAGAAATTTAGACTTATGTCTCTCCCAAGTCCCAATTTACAAACGTTATAATGATATCGAAAAATAAGAGGCTTATCGCCTTCCTGCACATTTCACGGATTATTATATCGTTAAAGAGATAGAAACATAATGTTTAGAGTTCCGACTTGTTATAACGTTGCGTCGTAGGTTCGAAACTGCCCACTTTTGTTTTCCGGTTAGATGAGTGAGAGAGCCAGCATAACAAATTGACTCTGCGATAGCTATAGCTAAGCAAGGAGAAGTGTTGTTTTTTATCTTTTTTACTTTACTTAGTGGTTAGCCATCACATTATAACCGATCCTATTTCTCCCGATGAATGACGCTTATTTTAGAGGCGAAACACGTGACATATTATCGACGCCGTGTGTATATCTAAATATAGAGGTTGGTGTTGTACTGGATGTAGTAGTGTTGGCCTTAGTATTGGCAAGTGATAGTGCACACAATTGTTAGAGGAAGGATGTGATCTTAAAACTAGATAATTCTCACAATTGTATGTATATATTTTTATAAGATCGAGTGACAAACGAGCACACAGTCCACCTGATGGTAAGTGGTTGCTGTGGCCCATAGACATCTACATCTATCCTCGTTTGCGAATCAAAACGCAGATGCGTTGTCACTCATGAGGACTAAGATGGAATGCCTCTTATCCAGTAAAAAGGGTCTCCAGTTCTCTACACTCACCATACGAAACACAGCAGTGTTAAGCTGCTATTTTACGCTGGTATTCTGTGAGAGCGTGATCCTTCCCCAGTCGAACAGACCCATTCGTGCTAAAACTATACTACTAATATAGCTGCAGCATGGCTCTACCACGTATAAAATTTGCAAAATATTTTCCCCTTTATTGTACGGTATTTCTGGACACTAAGTACAACTTTCATATTATGTGAAAAATATACGCAGTTCTATATGCAAAAGTCATCAGAAAGTAATCAATTTCATAGTGATAGGAGCTTTAATACTTTACTTCTTTTTAAATTTATTTTTGGTGATCATTAAAGTATAACAATATTCCCAGTAATTAGCCGAGTGATGACCCTAAAACGTTACAAAAAACTAATAGAAAACTTTCATGTGAACAACCCAAACACTGAATTGGAACGCAGTGATTCAAATTATGATAAATTAGCTAAAATCAGACCATTGATTGGAATTCTAAACCATAATTTTTCAAGCATGTGTACTCAATCTTCATCACAAAGCATAGATGAGAGCATGGTAAAGTTCAAGGGTCGAAGTAGCATGAAACAGTACATGCCAAACAAACCAATCAAACGAGGGTACAAAATTTGGGCACGCTGTGACTCTGAGTCTGGATACCTATACTCATTTGATATTTACACAGGTAAGGCCACTTCAACAGATGAAAATTCTGGTGGTCTTGGATACAGAGTGGTGATGTATCTATGTAGAAATGTCCAACCATACACATTAATGGCATTCGATAATTTTTTTACTAGTTTGCCTCTTCTGGAGATGCTCCATCACAAAAATATATATGCTGTGGGTACAATCCGAGTCAACCGAAAAGGCCTTCCAGCTGAAATAACTGTTAAGAGGGGAACAAGAGACCAAATGTGCCTAAAACCAGGATAATTTATGTTTCAACATGCTGCTCCTATATCAGTAATCAAATGGATGGATACTAAAGATGTGTATGTTGCTACTACTGCATTTGATCCAAAAAGGGTACAAATCATAAAACGCAAACAGAAAGATGGAACAAAAAAAAACATGTTTTGTCCTTTGGCCATTGTAGAATACGTAAAAAATATGGGGGGAGTTGATCGCTTTGACCACTTCAGGAGCTCTTACTCTATAGGCCGCTAGTCAAAGAAAAGCTGGTTCCGCCTGTTTTGGTTCCTGTTTGAAGCTGCTCTTATAAATGCCTACATACTCTACAGCCAGGGACACGTCATGCGCAATAGTAGTCATCGCCAATTTCGTTTGCGTGTTGCCAGGGGCCTAGTCAACAACTTTAGTTCCCGCAAGGCATGTTCCACCATATTAAAAAATAAGAAAGGAGGTGTCTACAAAATTTCGGATGAGGTGCGACTGGCCAAAGTCGGTGTACACATACCACGAGCTGGAACTAAACGGCGTTGCCGTTTCTGCAGCACTAGAACTAATCCCAAGCGGTCTAAAATAGAGTGCAGTTCATGCAAAGTTCCACTATGCATATCACCATGTTTTGAAAGGTTTCATTTACCCTATGTGCCTCATAATTTGTAACATGTTCATCCAAATAAAGAAAATAAATAAATACCCAAGAAATTTAATTTTACTATTGATTCAGGGTAAGGTACCACTCCGAGCATAGCCCTCTCCATAGCTCGCTGAGCGACCTTGAGCTTCCTCATCCGGCCAGAAGTGAAGGACCACGTCTCAGTTCCGTATGTCATCACTGGCAACACGCACTGGTTGTACAGTCTCGTTTTCAAGTTTTGAGGTATACCTGACGAGAAGATGTGCCGTAATTTCCCGAACGCTGCCCAACCGAGTTGAATCCGTCGATTGACCTCTCGGTCGAAGTTGGATTTACCTAGTCGCACTATTTATCCCAGGTAAACATACTCGTCAACAACTTCGAGCTTAGTGCTCCCAACAACTACTGGTATAGGTGTGACATGAATATTAAACATGATCTTTGTTTTCTCCATGTTCATCTTAAGATCTATCCGTTGTGACGCACAATTGAGGTCATTGAGCATAGTGCTTAGCTTCTCCAGTGATTCTGCCATAAGGACTATATCGTCGGCAAATCGAAGGTGAGTGAGGTACTCGCCATTGATGTTGATACGTATCCTTTTCAGTCCAGAAGCTTGAAAACGTCTTCCAATGCAGCGGTGAAGAGTTTCGGGGATATGACGTCACCCTGTCTTACACCTCTCTGCAATTGGATAGGTTTCGTACTCTGGTTCTGTACTCGGATAGCCATCGTAGCCCTACTGTACAAGCACTTCAGCACTTCGATATACCGACAGTCCACTTGGCACCGCTGAAAAGCTTTCTCATAGTCCACATACGCTAGACATAGTGGCAAATTGTACTCCTCTGACTTCTGTACAACTCGCCTAAGGGTATGTATGTGGTCTATGGTGCTAAAGCCTTTTCGGAAACCGGCTTGTTCGGGAGGCTGGAAGTCGTCAAGTCTGCGCGCGAGACGATTCGTAATGAATCTCGAAAGCGGCACGTCGACGCGGCTCAGAAGGGAAATCGGTCTGTAGTTCTTCAAGAGAGTGTTGTTGCCTTTCTTGAAGAACAAGACCACCGCACTTCTGCTCCACGCCTCCGGTGTAATGCCACCATGGAGGACGGAATTAAAGAGTTTCTGAAGGACTTCAAGTACCGGTTTTCCACCCGCTTTCAGAAGCTCCGCTGTAACTCCATCCTCGCTTGGGGCCTTGCCGTTTTTAAGGTGCGGGAGAGCCATTCTAATCTCGCTCAGACTGACGCCCGGGATATCATCGGAATAATGTCGGATAAGACTCGCTCTTGGATCGTTACGCACACTCGCGTGTGGCTCCAATGATGACGTGTACAGCTGCCCATAGAACCTCTCAATCTCACTCAAAATCTCAGGTGCCGCGGAAACGATGCTGCCACATTCTGTCTTCAGCTTTAACAGTTGGCTCTTTCTGGCAGACAGATCTCAGGCAAAGACTTTGGAGCCTTGGTTCCCCTCGATCGCTTCTTCAATACGAGCTGTATTGAAGTTTTTTTTTTTTTTTTTTTTATAGGGTAAGGGTGACAAACGAGCACACAGTCCACCTGATGGTAAGTGGTTGCTGCGGCCCATAGACATCTACATCTATCCTCTGTTACAAATCAAAATGTAGATGCGTTGTCACCCGTGAGGGCTAAGATGGAATGCCTGTAAGTCCTGCCGTCTGTTCAGTTGCCTGTATGCTGTCAAATCTGTTGAATCTGTTGAAGAATGTAGCTTCATCTCCCGTCTAACAGCCATGAGATTAAGAGTGTGATCGGAGAGTTTTTGTGTTCTTCTACGGCGGGTCTTGCAGATCTTAGCTCCGACCGCATGGACAGTTTCCTCCAGCTTGTCATTCATATCGTCCACTTCATTGCAGTCTTCTAGGCACTGAAAACGGTTTTGTAACTCGAGCTGAAAGGTTTCGGGACTTTGGATTAGAGCACGAGGGGGACGGAGCGTTGACTTCATTAGATGAGATCTCTCCAACCTAACGTTTAGCTTCAGTGTGCCTCTAACCATTCGGTGATCGCTGCCAGTTTTCACCCTCGCGATCACTGAGACATCACTGAACAGTTGTCGTCTGGTCGTCATAATGAAGTCAATCTTATTTTTGTCGAACTGTCGGGGCTCGATCGCGTTCACTTCCTGTGGGGCCGCTTCTGGAAGAAAGAGTTCATCATAAAGAGTTCCTCTTTCTCCACGAAGTCGGCCAGTTGCTGGCCCCTGTTCCGTTGCCCTATTCCAAATTTCCCTACTTTCAGCTCACCATTCTCTCTTGTGCCTAGTTTTGCATTGAAGTCTCCCATTAACACCATATATTGGGTTTTGGAGGAATGCATGGCTCTAGAGATATCCTCATACATTTCCTCCACCTCCTCATCGGGGTGTGCCGAGGTTGGTGCGTAAACCTGTATGACCTACAGCGAATACCGTTTGGTGATTCTGAGTATAAGATACGCAACCCTCGACGACACACTCTCAATCTTTACAACGTTGTTAACGAGAGACTTGTGGACCATAAATCCGACACCTCCTTGGGACAGATGGTCGCCCTCCCGTTAATAGAGCAAGTTGCCGGATTCGAGGATTACCGTTTCCTCCCCCTCTCTTCGGACTTTGGATAATCCTATAATATGCCAGCGTAACTTGTCTATCTCTTCTTCCAGCTCCACAATCTTCTCGTCAATCCTCAGGGTGCGTGCGTTGTATGTTGCCAGGTCGAGTCGTCGTAGGTGGCAACCGAACCTCCACCGGAGATTCTTAACACCCCCTGCCCCGCCGTTACCATGGTCGCCACCGTAGCCAGGAATAGCGGGGTCGCCGGGTACTGGGGGCCGTCTCTTAGTAACTTTATCTATTTGGGGGGTATTTGCCATAGTTGCCACGCTTGGCGAGCGGGTTGGCAACCGCAGTTTTTTATTGTATTTTTGCTGTTATCAGGAAGATGCTGCTGCCCATCTCCTGCCTGTTTCCCTTTGTCACCTTTTACGACACCCACGGGAAGATATGGGGTAGTGGATATTCTTAACCGCCACTACACGGTGGTATAGCCATGCTGCAGCTATATTATAGTTATAGCAGGAATGGGATGGCTCAACCGAGATAGGACGACGCTGTCACAGATTACCAGGGTACACAGCAGCTTAATGTTGCTGTGTTTAGTATGGTGAGTGTAGAGAACTGGAGAACCTTTTCACTGGAAACGAGGCATTCTATCGTAGTCTTCAGGGGTAACAACGTATCTGCATTTTGATTCTTAATCGAAGATAGATGTAGATGTAGATGGGCCACAGCGACCACTTACTATCAGGTGGACTGTGTGCTCGTTTGTCACCCTTATCCTATAAAAAAAAATGAAATACTGTCCCGCTCTGCTGAGCACGCCAAGCTTTTTAAAGGCCAATTTGGCCTTCTCTTCGAAGTGACCACGAAACTGCACGTCACTCGATATGTCGACGCCGAGGATTCCGATACTGGCTGAGGCATAACGTAACATCGATATTGCATTCGTATTACGTATTTGTGTGTTCCAATCTAAATCGGTGTAATCGGTGCTAACATTAGTGCAAAAATAAAATTTGTTGGTATTCGAGCCTGTAGTATCATTCATAAGTTAATATCTTTAATACTGCGCCTTAGCCTTCCTCAGGCTATATTTATAGTGTTATATAGAGAACAGGTAGGCAAGAACGAGTGAATATTCTGTGTTAACGTTTATGGCACGTTAATATGCCCTGCAGACTTGAAAGATTTTAATACCATTGGATAGTTTTTAGTATTACTGAAATCACTCAGAAGAATAGCAAGTTCGAAAGGCGTATCGTGACGGATTGTTTGTGGTTTTAGCACGAATGGGTTGGCTTGACCGGTGTAAGACTACGCTCTCACAAAATAGCAGCTTAATGCTGCTGCGTTTCGAATGGTTAGTGTAGAGAATCGGAGATCTACAGCCACAGTTGTATGACGTGATAAAAAATTTTAGAAGTACAATGAAAATGCTCATAACAAAAACATAACGTTATGTGAAAAATATTTCCATTCACTTTCTCTTTCATTGCTTGCAGTATTTATGTGGACTAAAGAAACTCAGCTAAGGTGATAATAACAACAACCTAATAAACCAATAGGTTGAGCTATGCTAGTGCAACAGGAAGACGCCTTTCATTTTTTAATTAGGAAACCGGCCGGGTAAAAGCAACCTTCCGTCAACGCTGTACAGGCAGGAAAGCATCACCAATGTGTATTAATGAAGCAGAGGCACGAATCGCTAACGATGCGTACAGGCATGTCAGTCTTACCGCGCATTTCAAACCACGCGTACGTTCCCGCTACTGTCAAGTTTTTATTTGTTTCCTGTCAAAGCTCCGGGTCAATGACACACGTT